GATGGGAGGTTCTCCCCACGGAGGACAGGGTGGAGACTTAACCAGCCTGGAGCCTCTCACAATGCCAGTGTAGGACTGCTTTGTACTAAGCTTCAGTGAGTAAATATCCTTCGAGTGAAACAGAATGTGCACACAGTGCCAGCAGAATGTCACCCCCTCCCCGTTTTTTGAGCCTGTTCTCCCTTGAGGAGTCCTTGGGTGGTACAAAAATAGTTACACACTCAATTGCTAGCACAAAGGCTGGCAGTTCAAATCCACCCAGAGGCACCTTGGAAGACTGGCCTGGTCATCTGCTTCCAAAAGGTCCCAGCCTTGAAACTCTATGGAGTAACTCTCTACTCTGCACATGTGGATCTCTGGGAGTCTGAATCAAGTCCACAACAAATACCAACAACAGTCTCCTTGAATAAAGACAGCTAGTTAGAGTCCCAGGTCCTGCACCTTGTAGCTGTGTGACTTCGGGCAAGCAACCCGGTCTCTCTGGACATCTGTTTCCACACACAAAGTAGGAATAATAACAGTACCAACTGTTAGGGTCCGAGACCACCACCCAATAAGGAGACCAAGAGACAAAGATAATGCAACAGCAAGCGGGCTTTATTCAAGCTAGCATGCTAAGGTCGAGTGGCGGCTGGCAGTGTAGTGTTCAGCAGTGTTGCAGCAGTGTTACTACATCAGCTCACCAAAGCTCGACCCCAAGCAGTTCACAAACCGCACCTTATATAGGGTTTTGGGACACACCATGGGAGGGGGATATGCAAACTGGGATTACAACTTTTACCCAATGGAGCATTCAGAAACCGCAGGATCCAATAGATTTAAACATAACATCACATAAGTGACCTATAGTACTAAGACTTTTTCCAGTCCTACCGGCCTCATCTTATCTGTTACCTGTTCCGGCCACCTGGCCTGTGAGTCTTCAACTGTGACAGTTTTATGAATGTGCTCTTTACCCTGCATTTGTGTCTCTTGAGACATTCTGTTGGGGACTTGCCTAGCCATGCCTGGTTGTCCTTATGGCCCCAGCCTGAAGCAGGTCTCAGAGCAAGCTCTTATGCCTGAAGCGGCGATTCTTGCTCTGAGCCCTACTCTCAGCCGTCCCGTCCACTTTCATTCTCACACCAACCTCTGGGCTCCATATACGATACACACTGGACTGCTAACCACAAGGTCTGTGCTTTGAGTCTTCCAGCTGCTCTGAGGCTTTCTGCTCCCACCACGATCACTAACTCTTTGGGTCACTATGAGTCGGAACCGACTTGATAGTACTTCACCTCCAGTACCACCACCACCTCTGGGCTGCTTTATGGCTTCATGGGCGCACAGGGGAAACAGTGTTCAGGGGCAGCCCTCCTGGTAGTGTCAGGGTGTGTGCACAGTGCCCATGTCTGTGTGGATGGAGTTGAGAGGGATTTCCTGTTACCACTCTGCTCTGAACCCAAAGTCTGATCTAGTTTTTTCCCCTGGGCTGGTGGTCTCCGGGTTCTCTGTGTCTCCAACAGGAACTGGGACTACTTTGGGGCTCCTGAACTCTCTAGGGTGGAGATGATGTGGGTGGGGTGGGAGGCTGATTGTTCCCACACAGGGTGAACTGGGGAGGAGATGGGGAGCCTTATCCCAGAGCTGTTACTCTATAGGCTGTGGCTGGAATCGGGCCTGGCCCAGAGACAAAGCATGCTGGTTAGCCAGGGCTGTCTTTCTGTAGGATGCTGGCCAAAGAGAGGGAGTCATTTTGACTGGAAAGTCAGTCATCTTTGGAGGACACCCTGTCTTGGGTCAGTTGGTAGGGGTCACCTGGGTCGGGGGTGACTTTGGCTGGAGTTCATTGACCTGGGATCAGTCCATTCAGTGGTCATTCTAGTGAAATCAGATGATCTGACGGTCATCTGGTCACTCTGGTGAGCCCAGCCAGTCTGGGGCTTCCTGTGACTGCAGTCCATCAATCACTCTAGTCACTCTGGCAGAAGTCAAATGGTCTGGAGGTCACTCTGAGCAGAGACCTCAGTCTGGGCACCTATCTGATCAGGTCAGTTAGTCTGGGATCTCTGGCAGGTCATGTGGCCTGACCTGGGATGGATGGGAAGAAGCCAAGGAGCTGGTGGGCAGCTTCCTTGTTACTTGTGCAGGGACAGGAGGACTTGAGCCCCAGCCTGAGCTCTAGGCCCCGGGGTGCCTTCCCTGGCAGTTCCTCTGCCTCAGGGGAGCCCAGCCTGAGGTCAGCTGTTCCCCCTTCTCATGGAAGCCCTCCCTGACCACTCCCAGTGGCCATGTCCCATCTGTGTGCTGTAGGTCATTTTCTAGAGGGAGATTGGAGGTCCTCCCAGCATAGATGGGTTAACACCCACCTCCCTCAGGCCCCAGGGCAAGATGCTGACCAGAGCTTTTTAAACAAAGAGGCAAAGAGCTCAGCCAGGGTCCTGCCCTAGCCCTGGAGAGAGTCTCTTGTTGTTCCATCCCACCCTCCTGTGCCAGCTTTAGCCCATACCTCATTACTTCCACACTCTGGAGAGGCCCAAAAAAGGGAGATGGAGACCCTGACAATAGTGCTCCCCTTTGTGCCTGACTTGGCTGAGCTCATTTTCATATACTACTTCACATGATCCACATGACAACCGAGAGAAGTAGCACTACAGATGGAAATGGCTGAATCTCCCCAAAGGGCTGCCACTTTCTGTGTGAGCAGGAGCCTAGCACTGTACCTGGCCCATGGTACTCACTACCCACCCCCCACCCAGCTTCTCTCCTTGAGATTAGGAAGCAGCGCAGGTTTGCTCCTTCTCATGCTGAAGACATCACTAGTGGGAAGTGTAGACGGAAGACATCTGACCCACATGGGTTCAAATCTTGCTTCTGTTACTTATTAAACTCAAGAGGTACATATTAAGAATGGTTGTTTCCTGACTGCTCACTGTATGCCAGACATTGTACTAGTTGGACACAGCATTGAACCTCAACAACTTCATATATCGTTGGGAACCTGAGGCCCAGAGAGGCGAAGTGACTTGCCCATGGTCACAAAGTTTGGTAAATCGCAGAGTCAAGATTCAATCCGAAGTGTGTGTCTCATTCATCTACTCACACACTTGTCTACCATGTTATAATGTGGGTGAATTCCCTCACCCCTTGGTGCCTCAGTCACCTCATCTGTTACATGGGAGAAGTACCAGTGCCTGGTACATACCCAGGACAGACCTGGCATGACTGTGCCTTCTTCTGCGCTGTCTGCTCAGGCATTTTCCTGGGTCTCAGGAGTCAGGACTACTCCTGAGGGGCCCTAAGCATCAAGGTTGGGGAGTGAGTGCTGGGACCCTTCCTGAACCAATGGTGTTCTCAGGTTCATTAGGTGCCTACTGAGCAAACGAAGATCTCTGGATCTCCTTATCAACCAGAGGACTCACATCCCCTTCAGCACCCTCTTCCTGTTCTCCCCACCACTGCCCTTTTCCTCATTGAATCTGTGATATTGGTAAATATGGGACGTTCTTCCTTGAGCCATATATATGCCTAGTCCACGGGTGACTATGCTTCTGTGTTGTACATTCCTACAGGCCAAGACCTAGGTGAGTGACTTTGGGCAAATGACTGAATTCCCTAAGCTCATCTGCCAAATGGGAATAATAGTGGTTCCTGCCCTAAGTGAGATGTGCAAGAGACTCTGCCTGGGAACTTTTAGCACTTTGCTCTGCTCTTTGTAAGCATTCATAATCCTGCCAACCCCAGGGCAGTGTAAGGAGAGTCCAAGTTCAAACCCCACCTCTATCACTAACTACCGGATCTTAAGGAAGTCACTTAGCCTCTTGGGATCTCCGTTTCCTCATCTGTAAGATGGAGATGATTCTAGTTCTGATCTTGCAGAGATGTGACACTCCAATGGTGGAGTAATACTGACGGCTATTGTAGTTTCTGCTTTTAACTTTTTATTGTGAATTCAGTGAAGGTTTACAAACAAGATAAGATCATCAGTTTTACATTCAATGAATCATGCATTTTATTTCATCTCAATGATTGCAATCCCTTTCAAGGAATAATAGTTACCCAACTTCTTCCCTGTGATTCCTATTTCCATTCCACCCAACCTCTCATCCTCTCTCAACTTTGTCCTTAGGTAAATGCTGCCCTTTTGATTTTGAATAATCGACTATTCCATGGTGAGCACACCATACTAATGTCCACCCCCCCACCCCCGTTCCCCCCAAATATATATCTACTGCTTGGCTGAAAATTAGGCCAGAGGGTGAATTTCTTTTCAGACTTGAAGGATGGTTAATTCCCTAGTCTTACTGGTCAGTCTCTTTCTGACCAATACGCCCAGTCTTTTTTATAATTTTGAGATTTATTCTGTATTTTCTGACAGTCTATCCTGGACTTTCTAATGGGATCCCTTTCAGAGCAGTTGGTAGGGGTAGCTGGGCACCATCTAGTTCTTCTGGTCTCAGAGTCTTGGAGACTAGCGTTCACATGTTGCATTAGTCTGTTGCACTCATTGATTTCCAGCATCTTCAATTTTCATCACTCTTCTTTCTTCTGCACATGGAGAGACCAATAGTTACATCTTAGATGGCTGCTCATGAGCTTTGAAGATCCCAGATGCTATTCACCAAAGTATGATATAGAACATTGTCTTTGTGGACTGTGTTATGCCAATTGACCATGGTGCTCCCTGAATTTATGGTCCTGAGTGATGGCTAGTTTTTATTAAGGAGGTCCTCTGATGGTTTGTTGAACAGTGGAGGGTCTTGGGGAGTGCTGGGGGAATGCACAGTATGAGGAGGTCTTGGTATTAGGAGGGGACAGTGAGATGAGGGCCTTGGTAGAAGGCAGAACGGTGAGAATTTTGCTAGAGGGTGGGAATAGTTGGGGGAGGACCATAGGAGAGGGAAGAGAGGAGTGTGGGCCTGGTAGTAGGAGGGGGCAGTGGTGGAGGCCTGGAGGGCAGCCCCAGGTGTCCTCCCTGGCTATCAGCCTTGGCTTGAGCTAACCAGGTTGTACCCTTCCAGCTGGCTGCACCTTTGAGGAGGTGAGTGATCCAGGAGTGCCCTGCGAATACAGCCAGGCCCAGTACAATGACTTTCAGTGGGAGCAAGTGTGGAGCCACCCTGGTACCCGGACCCCTGCAGACCTGCCCCATGGTGAGTCTATTCATCATCCGTATCCCCCCTTATCTCCTTCTAGGGTCAGTTCCACCCATCTGTGTGTGACTCTGAGTATAGTACCTAACCTCTCTGGGTCTCATCTGCTTTGCTTCTGTAATGACATATAGGACACTGTGATTGGGAAGCTCTCTGGATGCTGTCCAACTGTATCAGGCAGTTTTAGCTGTGAAGTGGGTGCAGGACCAGGTAATGAAGTAGGTTAAAACCCACTTCCCATTACTTGCCTTGCAGCTCAGCTCACACCAGCCACTCATGCTGGGTCTTCGTGGAGATTCTCTCCTCTGAACCCTGGTCTCCTCAGCCTTGAAGATGCTGGCAGAACAATAGCATCAGGGGCTAGATGTGTGTAAAAACTTCTTTCCTCTATGTCTTCCTCCCTGGAAGTCCCAGATTCTTTCTCCTTCCACTGTCCCACTCCTATTTCAGAAGGAACACTTTTGACATCCTCAACACTGGATTCTAGTTGTGGCCTCATATTCAGACGATGGCCCCTAGAGCACTGGCTTTAGAGTCATAAAAAACCTGGTTCAAATCCTGGTTCCATCACTTTATTAGTTCTGTGACTTTGGACAAGTCACTTAACCTCTCTGAGCCTCTATTTTCTTAACTATAAAATGGGGAGAACAATAACATTCTGCTAGATAATTCCTCTCAGGGAGTTCTGATGTGGCGCTGTATGATAAGCACTTGATTGCAAGGCTAGTTTGAACTGCAAGTTGGGGATTCAAAACCACCAGCTTCTACTTGGAAATGCTATACAGGGTCGCTATGAGTCAGAACTGACTTGACAGCTCTTAATAACAACAACAACAACAACAACAACAACAACAACAACAGATAATGCCTCTTGTTGTTGTTGTTAGGTGCCATCGAGTCAGTACTGACTTGTAGCGACCTTATGCACAGCAGAACGAAACACTGCCTGATCCTGGGCCAACCTCACTATCGTTGCCACGCTTGAGCCCTTTGATGTTGCCACTTTGCCAATCCATCTCACTGGAGGGGGTCTTCCTCTTTTTCTCTGACCCTCCACCTTACCAAACATGATATCCTTCTCCAGCGACTGGTCCCTCCTGACAATATGCCCAAAGTATGAGAGACGAAGTTTGCCTATCCTGGCCTCCAGGGAGCACTCTGGTTGCAATGCCTTAGATAGGGTTATTAGATAATGTCTGTGAAGTACATAGCATGAGGATGGAATACAGGGGCACAACTAATGTTTAGTTGCTATTGTTTGGGGTCTTTGAGGACCTCTCAAACTAGCCCCTCTTCAATAGGGAACTAAGGGATAAGACATATGGAGGCCACATTTTCAAATTTATTCCTGATAAAGTTAGTCAGAGGGCTTAGCCTAGTGCGAGAACCAAATGTGTTTGCTGACAGATCTCCAGAAATGGTCAGCCTAAGGCGCCCTCCCCTGCCCTGTGGCAGAAATGAGCCAGTGCCTTTCCCGGTGAATTCACAGCATGGCTGAGATTGCATCTGTGCAGAGGGTTGGGGCAGAACATCTAAGACGCAGCAAGTGCTGGGCCAGGACTTGAAGCCAACAGGAGCCGTGCCCCCAGGAGGACTAATCGTCCATTCCTAGTCCTGCCTCTTCTGCACATGCTCACACTGTCCTTTGTGAGTAGTCATCTCTGCCCTTAGCAGGTATCAGAGCTGTACCTGGTATGGGAGGGACCCATCTCCATATTCTCATGTTCCAGCTTTGGCCTGGCAATTGGTCCATACTCAGGTCCCAGGTACCTGATAGGACCTCCTCCTATGGGCTCTGAGACATACCCAATGGGAATGGGAAGAGAAAAATGTAGTATTTGGCGAGGGTCTTGTGCTAGACTCTGGGGGTGAGGGCTTAGCAAGAGATGGATACAGTCTCTGCCCTCTGACTGCCCTCATTCTAGAGGAGGGAGTTGGAGGAGGGAGATTCAACTCCAGGATGGAGAACAGGAGAGAGGAGAAGAAAGAGTGAAGGGATAAAGGAATATATGAAAAGAAGGGGGAGGTTGGAGAATGGGAGAGAAAACTAGAGGCAAAGAGGCCAGAGCAAAGTGAGATATGAAGGGGGAGAAAGACACACCCAGAGCGGCTTCCTAGGAGGAGAGAGGAGAATGGAGAGGAGCTGTGTTGGGGCTTGGCTATGTCCCTGCCAGGGTTTGCTCTCTTGTGCCACCCAGACTGATCCAGGAGCTGCTTCCACATGGCTCCTGGCTCACTGAGATGAATGAGATCCCTTCCAGCCACAATGGAGTCCCCAGGGAGTCTTCCCAGAGCTGAAAGCCTCATGGTTTGGGATCTGAATGAGCTTGTGTTGGCTGGCAGCCAAGCCTTGGAGGCAGCATTGCTGGGTGGCTAAGGGCACCCCTTAGCAGCTGCCAGGGGCCTTCTCCCTCTAGAAGGGAAGCTATACTCTCCTAGCCGGGCCCTGAGGAGTCTAGCTTCCCAGTTCCTTGCCAGAACACAACCTGGATCTCCAAGGAAGGAGCAGGGTGGAAGTCAAGAGAATTTTGTTTCCCTGGCATTTACACTTGAGGCTGGAAGGAAAGCTAGAGTCTGTTCATTCAGTCTCTTGGTTCTAAGTATTCCTCAGCTTCGATTCAAAGCCTGTGCTGGGGACATACAGTTTATTAGTGATCCAAAGGCTGGGAGAGAAGCCATAGTGGGATAACAAGAGAAGGGTTTGAAAGAGGTGGCCTTCAAGGGCCTGTTACGTGTCAGGCTTTTGACTTCTGCATCAAGGATGGCTCAGACACGGGGAAGGCTGAAGATGACCAGCTTAGGCTGGTTCTTTAGGTGATGAGCAACCGTAGAAGGGTTTTTGACAAAGTCACATTTATCTTTTTTCCTCTTTCTTTTCTAACTTCTCTCCTTTGGGAAGTGAAGGGATTTTTCAAACGAGTCAAAACTGGGATCAGAACACAGAACCCCTGACTCCAGTGGGTCTAAGTACCTTGAGCCCTTTACTTCTGTACCTCTCCTTAGTACTCACCTGACCTTGGTCCTCTCCCAAGCTTCCTTAGCTCCTGTTTCTTCCTGCTCTCTTTCCAGGCTCCTACTTGATGGTCAATGCTTCCCAGCACAGCCCGGGTCAGCGGGCCCATGTCATCTTCCAGAGTCTGAGCGAGAATGACACCCATTGTGTGCAGTTCAGCTACTTCCTGTACAGCCGGGATGGGCACAGCCCAGGCACCCTGGGTGTCTACGTGCGTGTCAATGGTGGCCCCCTGGGCAGTGCTGTCTGGAATATGACCGGATCCCATGGCCGTCAGTGGCACCAGGCTGAGCTGGCTGTCAGCACTTTCTGGCCCAATGAGTATCAGGTGAGCTGGGGTCAGTCTGTGGTTGAGGGTGGGGGGAGAATGTCAGAGATTAGTAAGTGACTGACTGAGGTTGGAGTTTGGTCTCTGATCAGCATCAAGGGTCAATGTGTGGTCAAGGTGAGGGGTCAGTCTATGGTCATCATTCAGTGACCAAGGTCAGTCTGGGGGTCAGCATAGGAGTCATTTGTGAATAGAAACTGTCTATGGCCAGGGACTATGGCCACAGTTGGAACTGTGCTAACCTGGAAATCTGTCTGACTGGACAAGGAGTTTTGCTGCTTGAAGGTAACTGCCAGGATTGGGACCAAATCACTGTTCTTGACCTTGTTAACTCTTGGTGCTGTCTCCCTCCCCCAGCTAGCTGGCTTGGCAGGGAGGGTCACTGTAAGCTGGGCTGACCTCAGTTGGCTGAAGAGGATGGGGCTGGGGCAGAGCTGCACAAGATACCTTATCAGGCAGGGGTGGAAGGATGTCAGTGTGACTGGCCCTCCGGCCTCCCCCCAGGTGCTGTTTGAGGCCCTCATCTCCCCAGACCGCAGGGGCTATATGGGCCTAGATGACATCCTGCTTCTCAGCTACCCCTGCGGTGAGTCCCAGCCTCTGGGGGAGGGGTGGGAGTGAGGTGCAGGCGGTCGCGGCTCCGGCCTGCAGGGGCACAGGGCCAGGTCACCGCACGTTTTCATATCCGCAGCCAAAGCCCCGCACTTTTCCCGCCTGGGTGATGTGGAAGTCAACGCCGGCCAGAACGCCTCGTTCCAGTGCATGGCGGCAGGCAGGGCAGCGGAGGCAGAGCGCTTCCTCCTGCAGGTAAGGGGTAGGGGGCTTCTGGGTCCTGGAACCCTCGTGGGATGCTGAGTCTTCCCTTTATTTTCCAACATCATAGCGTGCACCTCGGCTGTACCCTCATCCATGGCTCCGTTCTGCCTTCTCCCAGGGCAGAGCACTGCTCCCGGATCCTCTAATCCCTCTTCCCCCTAAAGGCAGAGTGACCACCATCTCTTAATCAGCCTCTAATCTCTCACCTTGCTGTACTGGAGCTGTGTTCCAGAAAACCCTTGTCTCCCTGAGTGCTATTGTTAAGTATTGTCGAGTCGATTCCGACTCATAGTGACCCTGTATAAGGGTTTCCAAAGAGTGGCTGATGGGTTTGAACCGCCAATTTTGGAATTAGTAGTCTAGTGCTTATCCTACAGCTTCACACCAGGACTCTTGGGTTGTTGTTGTAAATTCCGTCGAGTCAGTTCTGACTCCTAGTGACCCTTGTATAGGGTTTCCAAGGAGCGGCTGATGGGTTTGAACCACCAACTCTGTGGTTAGCAGTCCAGTGCTAATCCTACATCGCCACACCAAGACTCCAGGATAGGACTCTTGGGTTTGTTGTTAAGTACCGTTGAGTCGGTTCCGACCCATAGCGGGTTTCTGAGGAGCGGCTGGTAAGCTTGAACTGCCGACCTTACGGTTCAAACCAACTTTTCAGTCAAGTGCATTAACCCACAGCGCCACATCAGACTGTTACCGTCCCTAGCCCAGGTCAGAGCGGGATCTGGACTCCTCAGTCGCTGGCGCCCTTGACCCTGTCACCCTGTCCCTCTGCGCAGCGTCAGAGTGGTGTACTGCTGCCGGCGGCTGGTGTGCGGCACATCAGCCACCGGCGCTTCCTGGCCACTTTCCCGCTGGTCGCCGTGGACCGCGATGAGCAGGACCTGTACCGATGCGTGTCCCAGGCCCCGCGTGGCGCGGGCGTCTCCAACTTCGCAGAGCTCATCGTCAAGGGTCAGTGCGCGGTCGCTGGCTGCTGGCTTACCTTCCGAGCGTGGTCTGACCAGGGCAGGGTATAATCAAGGGGCGGGGACTGAGAAGTGGGCTGGGTGAGAGCGAGAGCGGGATGAGGCGGAGTCTAGTGTGGGGCCTTGTGGTTGATCGGAGGGGGCCTGTGGTCTGTGGGACTTGGGTATTTGGAGGAGAGTGCGGGAGAGGGTGTGGGCTGAGGAGCTACGGCGGGCCGGGATCTTATTGAGGGTGGGCGTGGCCAGACTTTCGAACCTGGTACCTCATCGGGCTTGGGGAGTTAGTAGGGGAGAATGTGTGGCCTGGTCCAGGAATTGGAGGATCTAGCACACTCTTGGGGATTTGGGTGTGGTGGGATGCAGAGTTCAGGGTCAGGATTTCACAACAGCAGCCGCCAGCTCCTCGGTAACCTCTTCCCTCTCCTTTTGCAGAGCCTCCCACCCCCATCGCACCCCCGCAACTGCTGCGCGCGGGCCCCACGTACCTTATCATCCAGCTCAACACCAACTCCATCATTGGTGATGGGCCAATAGTGCGCAAGGAGATCGAGTACCGCATGTCTCGCGGGCCGTGGGCGGAGGTGCACGCTGTCAGCCTGCAGACCTACAAATTGTGGCACCTCGATCCTGACACGGAGTACGAGATCAGCGTGCTGCTCACGCGCCCAGGCGATGGCGGCACTGGCCGGCCTGGGCCACCCCTCATCAGCCGCACGAAATGCGCAGGTAGGTATGGCCGGTGCCTCCCATTTTCTTTACTGTGTCTTGTTGTTATTAAGTGCCATTGAGTCGGTACCGACTCATAGCGACCCTATGCACAACAGAACGAAACACTACCTGATCCTGGGCCAACCTCACAATTGTTGCCACGCTTGAGCCCATTGATGCTGCCACTTTGCCCATCCATCGCACTGGGGGTCTTCCTCTTTTTCTCTGACCCTCCACCTGACCAAACATGATATCTTTCTCCAGCGACTGGTCCCTCCTGACAATATGTCCGAAGTATGAGATACGAATTTTGGCCATCCTGGCCTCCAAGGAGCACTCTGGCTGCACTTCTTCCAACACAGATCTGTTGCTTCTTTTGGCAGCCCATGGTACTTTCAATATTCTCCTCCAACACCATAACTCAAAAGCATCAATTCGTTTGTCTACAGTCTTCCATATTCACTGTCCAACTTTAGCATGCATATGAGGTTATTGAAAATACCATGGCTTGGGTCAGGTGCACCTTAGTCCTCACACTGACATCTTTGCTCTTCAACACTTTAAAAAGGTCTTGTGCAGAAGATTTGCCTAATGCAATACATCCTTTGATTTCTTGATTGCTGTTTCCATGAGTGTTGATAGTTGATCCAAGAAGAATGAAGTCCTTGACAACTTCATTCTTTTCTCTGTTGATAAGAATGTTGTTCACTGGTCCAGTGATGAGGATTTTTGTTTTCTTTACATTGAGATGCAATAGGCTGTGCTCTTTGAACTTCATTAGTAAATATTTTAAATCCTCTTCACTTTCAGAATTAGACAGCAGAATATCAGCTCAGGGCAACTGAGGTGCAAAGGGGCTTTTTCTTGACATGTTCCAAGAGGCAGTGTGGCTTGGATCTGTCATTCTAAGACATTTGAAAATGCCATGATTTCCCCTTAATCTATGTTATTACTTTCTACCAGACACTTAAAAAATATATATGTATATACATTCACTGTTGTTGATTTATAACCCACACCACCATGAGGCAGGTACAGATGAGATAACAGGTGCAAAGAGATCTTAAGTAACAGAACCAAGGTCAGAGCTGGGAAGGGAACCCTATGAGCTAGCTTCAGAACCTGTGGTTTTAATCCTGCGGTATACCATCTGGATAAAATAAACAATTGTTGTTAGGTGCAGTCAAGTTGGTTCTGACTCATAGTGGCCCTGTATAGGGTTTTCAAGCAGTGGCTGGAGGGTTTGTACCTCCACCTTGTGGTTCAAATTGACCATGCGGTCCAGTGCTTATCCTACAGTGCCATATCAGACACCCTCAAATAAAAGTATGTTAGTAAACCTAACTGGAGTCTCTTGTCTGCAAGGACATTGCAGTGTTTTGGAGTGAAGGTCCACCTGAACCAGCCACCCAACCACTGCCATCCAGTTGATTCTATAAGGTTCCTTGGCATTGTAGGATAAGCACTGGACTGCTAACCATAAGGTTGGCAGTTCAAAACCCCTAGTAACTACTCAGAAATCCTATATAGGATTGCTATGAATGGGAACCAATTTGATGGCAATTAACAACAACAGTATTCCACAGTATGGATGTACTATGATTTGTTTAGGCATTCACTTGTTGAAGGACATCTTGGCTGATTCAATTTTTGGCTATGATAAATAACGCTGCTTAGAACATTTGTGTACAGGTTTTGGTGTGAATATAACTTTCCAGTTCTGGGATAACTGCCCAAGAGTACAATTGTTGGATCGTATGGTAATTGTGTTCTTAATTTGATAAGAAACTGCCAAACTGTTTTTCAGGATGGCTGTACCAATTTATATCCCAGTTTTTCCAGATTCTTGCCATCATTAGCATTATGATTTTTATTTTAGTCATTCTGAGGTGTATAGTGGTAGCCCATTGTGATCTTAATTTGCACTTCCCTAGTGCCTACCAATGTTGAGCATGTTTTCATGTGTTTATTTGCCAACGCTGTATCCTCTCTGGAGAGATGTTTGTTCATCTTTGTTGCCCATTTTATAATTGGAGTTATTTGCTTTTTTAAAAAAACTATTGAGTTTTAAGAGTTCTTTATATATTTTAGCTACTAGTCCTTTGCCAGATGTATAATGTGTACATACATTTTCTCAGTTTGTAGCTTGTCTATTTCCTCTCTTCACATGAACTTTCACAGAGCAACAGTCTGTAATTTTAATGGGGTCCAAGTTATTGGGTTTTCCTTTTATGGGTTGTGCTTTCGGTGTCAAGTCTAAGAACTAACTCTTTGCCTAGCTCTGGATTCCTAAGAAATCTCCTGTATATTTCTAAAAGCGTCACATTTTATATCTAAGTCCATGTTCTATTTTGAATTCGTTTTTATGTAAGATGTGAGGTTTAGTTTACTTATTTTTGCTTATTTGTATGTTCTTCAGTGTTTTTTAAAGGCAGTGAAACCATCTGAAATCTACTGTAGAGCCAAGTAGTATCACACTTGGGGACCCTTGGGTGGTGAGTCAGAGTTGCTCTCCTGCTGAAGGATCTGAGTCAGTTTCTTAACTTTTCTGAGCTTGAGTTCCCTTGTAGGGATAATACTGATATTTACCATACAAATTTAGCATATAATACATTCAAGTGTAAATGGTTTAGGGCTGGTCAGTCCCACCCAGAAGTGTCTGGTGATCTGCATCCAAAAGGTCACAGCCTTGAAAACACTGTGGAGCAGTTCTACTCTTTGTATTTTGGGTCACTATGATAATGTGCTGGACTGCAAGGTTGGCAGTTCAAGCTCACCATCTGCTCCTTGGAAACACTATAGAGGGTTGCTATGAGTCAGAACTGACTCGAAGGCACTTAACAACAACAGTAACGAGTCAAAGTCAGCTCCACAGCAGTTGAACAACAGCAACAACATTATGTGCCAGATACTATTTTAGTTGGTAGGGGCGTATAACTGTGTGAACAAGACAAAAGTACACTAGGGAACTCCTCATGGAACTCATGTTGTGGAAGGAGATGGATGATACATAAGCAAGTGAAATACATAGTTTGTCAGATAATGATATGTTCTGTGGTGAATAATAAAGCAAAGAAGGGGATGGGCCTAGGGTTAGTTTTGACTCATAGCCACCCTGTATAGGGTTTCTGAAAGCAACTGATGGGTTTGAACTGCTGACTTTATGGTTACCAGTCCAGTGCTTATCCTACAGTACCATACCAGTGTTCGGTCATGGGGATAGGAGGGTTGTTATTTTAAAAGAGCTCAAGTGATCATCTTACTGAGATGGTGATATTTAAACAAGGACCTGAAGGACGCGAGGGACTGAATCATGTGGGCAGCTGAGGAGTTTCTGAGGAAAGGAACATTCCAGGAAGATTGAACAGCAAACACAAGAGTTTGGAAGCTGGAGTGGGCTTGGCATGTGTGAGGAGCAGCAAGAAGACTTACATAACTGATCTAGTGCTTGAGGGGGGATGAAGTGAAGTTGTGTGCCATTGTGAGGGTGAAGATGTCAGGCCATTTTATGCTGAGTGAGCTGGGGACCTACAGGGGGCGTTGGAGAGCAGGAAGCTTCATTTACATTAGTTTCAAAGGATCACCATAGCCCTTATGTGGTGAATCAACTCCTGAAGGGCAAGGGCACCAGAGGGGAAACGAGTGAGGAGGCTAAGAGAAGATGGTGGCAGGAAGCAGAGCCAAAGCAGTGGAAAAGTGGTCAGATCGTGGCTGTATTTTGAAGGTAGAGCTAACTGAATTCACTGATGGATTGGATATGTAATAAGAAAGGGAAACAGAGAAGTCAAGGATGGCTCTAAGATTTCTGCTGGAGCAGTTGGAAGGATGGCGTTAGTCTTCATTTACTGCAGTGGAGGAGACTTGGAGCTGTGGGTTTGATGGGGGTGTTATAGATCAAGAGTCCTGTGTTGGAAGCATTGACTCTGAGATGCCTTTTAGATGTTCAGGTGGGGAGATATAGCCATCAGGCAGATGTGGTACAGGAGTGTGGAGCTCAGGGAAGAGGCTCAGGCTGCACATTTAACTTCGAAAGTCATCAAGATAGAGATGGTATTGAAAGTCATGGGCCTGGATGAGACCATTTACACTGGTACCACCAGGTGACATTTGACAATGTCTAGGAGCACTTTTGGTTGTCACATTTGGAGAAGGAATTGCTACTGGCCATCAGCGGGTAGAGACCAGGGATGTTGCTAAAATTCTACAGTGCACAGTCCCCTCAAAACAAAGAATTGTTGGGCCCAAAATGTCAGTTATAAAACCTGATTGAGAACCGGTGATTAGTCTTTAGATTCTAGGGAATAAGTGTAGATGAAAGGGAGAGTCCAGGGGGTAGGAGTAAATGCAGGTAATTGCATGAAATGCATGTGAAATATAGTGTTTAGCACCCGGAAAGCACTTAGTAAAGGATAGCTGTGATTCTTTTGGTGTTTTTTTGTTTTGTTTTTTAACGTTTCAAAGTCACTTCCAACCAAGCACTTAAACTAAAAGAAGTCAGAGTTAAAGGAGTCCATACAAAATCTCTGTTTCATATACTGCTTAGTTTATAGATGGGGAAACCAAGACCCAGAGGGGGAAGGGACTTGCCTGTCAGCATACAAAGGGTTAGGAACCCAGGTTTCTTGGTGGTGGTTATTAAGTTTTCCACTTCACCATTCTATTTTTATTCCCATTTTACAGATAAGTAAACTGTGATTTAGAGATTTAATCACTTGCCCACATCTACACAGCAGAGCAAGAATCAAAATTTGAGTTTCCTAATTTTTAACGTGTGGCGCTGTGGGTTAATGTGCTGGACTGCAAGGTTGGTTTGAACTGCAAGGTCAGCGGTTCAAATTCACTAGCTGCTCCTTGTAAACCCTATATAGGGTTGCTATGGGTCGGAAGTGACACGACTTCACTTAACAACAACTTTTAACGCAGTGTTTTTTTAACAACAACAGCAACAATAGCCATCATATGCTGAGAGTCCACTTTGTGCTGGACACGTTCCATAGACTGGCCAGGACAGAAGCTGG